CCCACCAGAACCAGAGCCAAGAAATGGGAGAAGGACGGGGCAAGGCTGACGGCCAGCCCCACGGAAACACTCCCCCCATGGTCACTATCTGGGTTCCTACTCCTCTATTTGAGCTCAGTGCAGTTTGGCATCTTTCCTGGAGAACCAACCGTTTCTCTAATTGCCTATCTTACCTCCTCCACTGGGCCCCGAGGGAAAGTTCACGTACCCCGGCCACCTGGAGTTGCACTGGGTCTGTGTGTCTCCGGTGCATGAGGGTGGCATTCATTTCGCTGCCCATGCCCATGCCCATGCCACAGTGTCCGTCGTTTATGTCAAGGCTGCCTCCACGGCGCTCCTAGAAACAGATGCAAGAGAGGAGCTGTCATCACGCCTCCAGAGCATCCCTCACTGTCTTCCCCATGCCTTGCTCGGATAAACACGGCCAGGGTTCCAGTAATAGAAATGATGGTGAGAGGGGGAGGGATGACAACGGTACCTAAGATTATGAAGACAAAGATGATGGCAGGCCCCATTTATTCAATCAAGAAATGCTTATCAGGCCCCTACCATGTACTTCATACTGTTCTAAGCAATGGGGATACGTAGCTGGAAAGAGAAGGTCCCTTGTCTTCACAGGGCATCAGTCCTGAGGAGAAATCATGCACATGTAAGTGACAAGTGAGCAGGGAGACGAATGTCTAAGTCTGCCTGGGTAATCAGGGAGGGCTTCATAGAGGAAGTGATGCTTGAATTCCAACTTAAAGGGGAGCGCCAGGAAAGAGCATTTGAGGCAGAGGGGACAGCATATAAAAAGCCTCAAAGGCATGAAAGAAGATACAATGGGCCATTCCGGTAACTAAAGGTAGTGGAGCACTGCTGAAATGTGTGTGTGTGGGGAGCAGAGGGAGGTAGCAGGAGAGAGGCTGGGGGGACAGATATGCGCCGCTCACAAAGGACTCTATGCCCGGCTAAGGAATTTAGGAATGATGTTATCTGGCGGTATTGTCCTTCTCGGTAAGCCGCCTCAAATCCCATCTGGATAAGGCGGGAGAAGTAAATAAGTAAGTAAGTAAGGCTCCACGGCAGGTGTTAATCCGTCTTTCCTGTAGATCGCCACAGCCAGGTGGGTAAGGGACGTGAACAGATTTGAAATTGTGCTGATAGAAAAATGAAGCAATTGTTCCCTGAGTCCTTGGGGTAAGAAAGGGTATGAGTGTGTGTGTGTGAGTGTTAGGCAGGGAGCAGTTTGATTCACACAGGCTTCTTTGCCAAAGCAGTTTCCATATCATATTTCTACCACTTGGGGCCCCAGCATTATCATCATCCCCTCCCCCTCCCCCTCCTCCTTCTTCTTTTTTTAAAAAAATATGTTTTTATTGATTTCAGAAAGGAAGGGAGAGGAAGAGAGAGAAACATCAATGATGAAAGAGAATCGTTGATTGGCTGCCTCCTGCACGCCCCCCACTGGGGATCGAGCCCACAACCCGGGCATGTGGCCTTGACCGGAACTGATTCTGGGACTTTTCAGTCCACAGACCGACGCTCTATCCACTGAGCCAAAATGGCTCGGGCCCCAGCATCTTCTTTATGAACTTCGTGAGACCTGCTGAGGGGGGCCAGGCCAGCAGCCCCGGACCTCAGCAGAACCATGGCGTTTACTTCCTATGGCTGTTTCCAGCCTCGCGGGAGGCTCTCACCCAGTAAGTGGCAGTGGGAACAAGGCGACCTGAGCCTCAGTGTGGGATGGGGGAGAGAAGGGCCTGCCCCCCACCTCACTGTGCCCACTCTATCCCTTCCAGATACCTGGTGAAAGTGGTGATGCTGCAGGTACCGTTGCTGCGCCGGTGGTGGGGCCGGGTGATACTGCGATGGAGGGGGCGGTGGGTGATCCGACAGCTTCCGGTTCATCGCAGGCCGGGTTTCTTCTCCCACAGCCCCACTGATATGTGGGCCTCCCTGGGGCCATCGGTCCAGGCTGTTGCCCCGGCGACCCTGGGAGAGAACAGAGATGATCCATCCTCCTCCCATGTCTCCTGGCTCTACCCCCCCTCCCCCCCTTCAGGCAGCTGTTCCCAGACTTTGCTCATGACAGCTCCGAGAAACTGCTGACAGGTTGGGGGGCATCTTAGAACCCATGGTTCAGACCTTCAGATTCTCCTTTTTTGGGGATGTCAGTTCTCCGGGTCACAGACTGACACTTTCCATATGGTCTCCATTTAGTCCATTCCTAGTGGGCTTGTTTTTTCTCTGTGTAATCAAGCTTAGATACTCTTTTTTATTCTGACACAGTGCCACCCCTCCTTATCGCATGTTGCCACATGCTGGACATGCTACCCTCCAGATAAGCTCTGCTATTGACTTTGCATGATTCTGAACTGTCATTTACAGCCTGGCGATGAGACACACACAGCCCTCTTGCAGCACCATGGAAACCAGGCCTGCACTGGGCATGCTGGGAGGAGCAAGGCCTTCTTCTTAAGCGTCTCCACCTCAGGAAGCAGAGGGTTATTTTTATGTAACAAGTGTAGAGGGGTTAGTGTATGCCAGGTACTGTTCTAAGCACTTTGCAGATACGAACGCATTTAGTCCAGTTAGGGCAGTTTCATGTGGCCTATCTCTGCCTGCACATCCTAGGAAATTAATACGCCTGTCCGTTTCCTGGTTACAATAATTCACAAGGTCTTGGCTGACCTTTGTTTTTCTTTCTGAGCTTCTGTGTGCACTTGGTGGGAACACCCTTTTCTCCTTTGATTGTAACTTCTCAGGCTGAAAAGCAGCCCATTACTTGAAAGGGACGGTTTCCTTTGTTTCCCCACAGCATGTGTTGCTTTGAAAGTCTCAATGCCTTTTCAAAGAACCCATCCCTGGGATTCCAGCTACTCCAGTCAACGCTTCTTCCTATAGCTCTCTCTTATGTTTTTTCCTTTGAAAAGCATTTTATAAATCGTGTGTGTGCCTGTGAATTTACTCGGGGAAGACAAGTTAGTATTTTCATTGCATCTAGACCAGAATCTGTGGCAAGTGCTCTAACTATATTTTCTCAATTAATCCTCATAACAGCCCATTCTATACTCAGGTTTCTATTTTGTTTTTTAAATGTGTGTGTTTTTTTAAATCCTCATCCGAGGATATATTTTTATTGATTTTAGAGAGAGGAAGAGGGGGAATGAGAGAGAGAGAGAGAGACACTGATGTGAGAGAGAAACATTAATCAGTTGTCTCCCGTATGTGCTCCCAACTGGGGATCAAATCTGCAACCTGGGAATGTACCCTGACTAGGAATAGCACCCATAATCTTTTGGAGCACGCGATAACACTCCAACCAAGTGAGCCACCGGCCAGGGCAGAAAGGTTTCTTAACTTGGCAAGGTCATAGGATAGCTAGTGATGAAATCTGGATTTAAAGCCGGGTCTGTCTGATGCATTTTCTGTGAAAACAATACTCTATATTCCAAATTTTCCAAGAGCAGGAATTGCAGGACTATGCTAAGTACTATGAATCCTGTACTATGCTAAGTCTTCTACCCCAATGCCTCCTCTCCACACCACATCCTGTCACAAAGCTCTAGCTCTGGGCCAAAACTAATGTAGTAATGTCGGTAACAAAGTGACGGCTGGATGTAAGAGCTCACTGCACTGAGTGTGCGGTGTGGTTAGGAACGATGTACGGGAAGGGGATGCATTATCTTCTCACCTTAGGAGGTGGATATCACTGACATCCCCATTTCATGGATGAGGAAACTGAGGATCGGAGACCTTTCCAAAATCACCTAGCTAGGGGTTTAAACTGAAATCTGACTTTTCAGTTATTCTACCTTTCAGAATCCTCAGAGGACCTGCACATCAAATACATCGTCTTGGTGGTTCATGTAAGATTCCAGCTGCCTAAAATATCTAGATGGGCTGGGCCAGTGTGGCTCATTAGTTGAGGGTCAACCCATGAACTAGGAAGTCATGGTTCGATTTCTGGTCGGGGCACATGCCTGGTTGCAGGCTCAATTCCCAGTAGGGGACTTGCAGTAGGCATCCAATCAATGACTCTCTTTCACACTGATGTTTCCATCCCTCTCTCCTTCTCCCATCCTTTCTCTGAAATCAATAAAAAAAACGTTAAAACACTTTTTTTTTTTTCAATCCCGAGATGGGCTGACCTGGTCCTCTCGTGTCCTATCCCTCAGGAAGATCTGCTTCTGTTTGGAGATAGAAGTTGTCCTGTAGTAGTCCACCAGCTTGTTGAGGGATGGAAACTTCTCTGTCCACAGGAAGTAGTTACCCTTGTTGTCTCTCATGACCTTGAAGTGCTGAACATCACCCTCGTGCCTAGAGACCAAGACAAATCCAAACTGTGTGTTACATGGTGACCGTGTCCCCGCCTTCGGGGCTGATGGCACCTGGGGATGCCAAGCGAGTTCTGTTAGGGCAGGACATGGAGAGATGGGAGCTTGCTCATCACTAGGCAGGTGGGTTGGGCCAGTCAAGCTCTAGGGAGAAAGGGCACTAGAGCAGAAGGTAACGTGTCTTCTGACACTGGAGTCGACCTTTGACAAGAAAAAATGTGCCAAGTGCTTTAAAGGCTATGAGGTCAAGGACCTTTTGACTATGTTTATCTGAAATATGGCCATCCCTGAGAAATGTACTACACTAGGGACTCTGCCAAGACTCAGAAGGGAGGGGTTCTCAAGCCCTTGTTCTCTTTCCGTTATCAGAAATACCTTGAACCAGCTCCTTCCAGTCACAGACTTGCTCTGGACAGTCAGACACTACCTTGAGAAATGTGTCATGCTTGGTCTCTACATCGGTCTCTTGGTCTTGCTTTAGTTTTGCATAAATAAGGTTGCAAAGCATTTTGAGCTTTTGGGGAAAGAAGTATTACACAGCATTGTAGAGTTTTCATGGGAACAGACTTCAGAGATTGCTGATCCTTATGTCTCCATGTCACAGCTGAGGATGCTGAGGCTCCGAGAGATGGAGGGCCTTGGTCAAGGTCCCCGCGAATGAATGGCAGAACTGAGGCAAGAACCCCGGGTCTCTGACTCCTGCCTGCCACACCATGTGCACATGCTAACTTCTTTAGATGGGCATCTTTTAACACCAGCTGGACTCACAGGGCAGGGCACATTTGTAGCGGGGTGGAGAGACTGGATTTTATTCATCACAGAAGGGAGGACTGGACCTTTACTAATAGCTCCAAGTCGTTCTATCTAGGATATTAAGTTTATGTGTGAAATGGACACACATTTATATCTAAAAGTTAACTGATGTTAATAGTGCCAATCGCCTGATCCAGCAGAAAAATCAAGAATTTAGAGTGTCAGAGAGTAAAGCTACGTCTGAAGGATAGTGGCGCTTTCTTAGGGATGGAGTTAGTGGTCTGGGCTCAGAGGGGACAGGAATTCCGATCACCAGTATCATTTATGTGCTGGGCTCTGCTCACGGGCAGGGGAACCCATGCGGTGACCTCTGCTTTGGCCGCTCTGGGGGGTGGGGGGAGGGGGGAACCAGCACTGTGCAATCATGGCCTGGCCGTTCACAGATGTTTCCTTCCCTGTAACACCACATGGCTCAGCTCACAGTCATTACCCCTCACATCTGGGTGAAGAGGAGGGAATATCCTTGTGGTATATTATTCCCCCAAAGACCAGAGTGAGAAACATTAACCCTTTCACTCTCATGAGCTGGGAGGAGGTGGAGGCCAGGATTTTGGTGGAGAGAGTGTGTTCTGGGAGGGGCAGAGAAAAGGCTAAAATTTAGTGTTTCAGATGCTTATCAAATGCTAAGTGACAGAACTACAATTAGCCCTTAATTATCTGTGCCCATGACAGAAAGCAAATGTGTAAATAAATAAATAAAAATGACTTCGCTCTGGAATGCATTACCCTACTTTTCTGCAGAAGATGAGATCATGATTATGGTAATAATCACTGTTACAAAAGCTGCATTGCCTCAATAGCAGGGGAAGGCTCTGGCGGAAGGCAGGGCTGACTGCTTTATAGAATCTACTTCCACCAAGGAAATGTACTAGGAAGTCATAGCTCCGGGCTGAAGAGGCCAGAGCCAACTTCAGGCCAACCACAGGCACCAGGAGGTGCCCTTCAGTCTGACAACTCACTTGGTCCATTCCGTAATCAAGGCCCTTAAGAACTAGGTTAGGCTTGTAAGGTTTACTGACAGAGCAAAATTTCATGAAAAGATGTAACAAGCTTAGAATTGTGAGACATCAGTATTGGTCTGCCCTAGAATATACCGCTGTCCAAGCTGTGAGAAAGAGAGGAAAATTAAGAGTTTAAGCGAGACTGCAAGGGCAAAGTGCACACGCCCGAGCTATTTTTGAGCACTCGAGAGGCACATGCACATACAAATCACTGACCCATTATTTGTCAGCCCCTCCTCCCTAGTCCTTAAAATATCCATTCTTTCTAAATAGTACAGTGACCTCAGTTTATTAGCCGAGATTGGATTTATGTACCTAAAGCACTCAGGCCGCAGGCCTTTCAAAATATACTGAATAATCCAGATCAGCATTTCCTGTCACCTAACTCGGCAGCAGGCTTCACGGTGCAGGCTGTCACCCTCCCGTGCTGCCATCAGCATGAATTATGCACTTTCACATGTGGTCACCAAGTCTGAAACGTGACTGCAACCCCAGACATGCTGACCACACGCCGTGTGTTCAGACGTGGGGCTTCTGGGTGTGGCGCTGCGTCACGCTTGTGCCTGGACTGAGTCACTTCCTCTGGGTGCTGAGCATTAGGGAGTTTGCTGTTCGTCTCCCCACCCCCGCCCGCGGCTCTGCCCTGCTGCCTCAGTTGTAGGTGTTTTGTGCGGCCACCCCCCACTCCATATGTACCCATAGCGGTGACTAGGGGTTTTCATTTCTCTCCGACCCTGCCTCAGACTTCCATCTGTAGTAAAAGATTACAATTTAGATCTCAAGATGGATGTGGACAATTCTCCCCACTTCTCTCCGCAAATACTCATCCTGCACCACTGGGCACAAGGCACCGTTAAAGGCACAGAGATGAGGTGGATAAAAATCCCATCCTTCCAGAAGCACCTGTGCTAGAGGCGGAGGCAGAGAAATGTGCACATGCTTTTGGCCACAGACCAATGTGCCTAGGAGTTACATGCATGTGCCATGGGAAGCAAGTGGACAGCATCACAGTTGATAAGATGCCTGGGACCCCTGGCCACCACGCTCCTGAGCAATAGGTCACATGCAAGAGGTCACTTCCTGGCTTAGAGGTCCGGGTCAGGGCGGTGTTGGGGATGGCAGTACCTGACGGATATGGAGAAGTCCCCTGGGGAGCTCTGGCTGGCCCGGATGATGAAGAAACCAACCTCCTTGGCCATGAGTAAGTTCTCTGCCTGGTGTCGCGAGAGGCCTTCGTGAAACCATCTACCGGGTGAGAAAACCACAGGATTTCGGTGAGATGCCAGGGCGATAGGAGGGGGAAGTAGAAGGAGGGAGGCTGGGACAGCAGCGGAGGAAGGAAAAAGAGGGGCCAGGCGCTCTGGAAGCCCAACAAACGTGCAGGCGTGTTCAGGCACAGGAGTGAGTGTGCCCGCGACGCCCCCTCTGTTCCCTCCAGGAGAAGCCCCTCCAGCTCGGAAAACCTGCATCATGGAAAGGTGCGGCTGCACCGAAATGGGGCCTTGTGGGGAGTGGCTCGCTGGGGAGCAGCCTCCGCTGGCAGCTGCGGAGGGAAGTTGCAAGGGAAGAATTGCAGGGACATCCCTGTGCCAGGCGGACAGGGACCCCTGCAAGCACTGGAGGCGGCCACCTGGCAGAGCTGGGGAAGGCCTGGGCTCCCAGGCTGAGACCTCAGGGCCTGGAAGAAGAGTCGCAGCCCTGGCCCAGCTCTCGCTCAGTGCTCGGCCAAGGCTGCAAGGCACCGGGGAAGCCCTGCACATGCACTTGGAAGTGAGCGAGGCGGGAACCACGTCTACAGAGCGGGCTCCTGGGCCTCCTCAAAAACCCAGGCTGGAAATAACCTTTACTGCAGAAAAGGAGAAACCGAGGAGAAACTGCCCTTTCAGGGGGCAGCTAGGGTGGTGGCCTCGGAAGTGTCAGGCCGCCTGTCATCTATGGAAAAGGCCGCATTCCTAGTATTCTCACTGTAAGCTATTTGCCGGAAACATTTTTGCCACAAGCCCTTTTGCTAATGGCCACAAGGCAATTTTGCAGTAAAAAAAGTTAAAATCACGACAAATAAAAGAACATAAAATTAAATAGGCTTCATTTGAATATAGTTGAAGTGTGTGTGGCTTCATGGCAGTGCTGCGCAGATAACGGATTTTATTTTGGGGATCGTAGCTGAGCACTTGTCTTCGTTCTGTGGGAAATGTGGGTTCAACTCTGTGCCCACACAGGGCCTCGCTTCTCTCCTCCAATTAGTGTGTTTGAACACAAGAAACCCACCTTTGGGACCAATCTTCCTCCTCTGGAAGAAATGCTATGCTAAGACCCCGACCACGTCTCCTCTCACTGTATAAAGTCTAGACCATGAAGAGGGCTGGCTAAAACTCACAGATAGTATAGAAATGGGAGGAACTAGGAGAACTTGTCAATGGAGAAATGTAACAAAATGACAACTAGCTTAAATGTACTGTGTGTGGAAGGCAATTGATTGGTTCATCAATGGAGAAATGAAACCAAACAAACAAGCAAAAAAATCAAATCAAACTGCCAAACAATTATTTTCTTTTTTATGGCAGTCGATTGATTTGTCAATAAAGAAATGAAACCAGAAGAAAAAAACAATTGTCAACCAGTTATTTATCTTTTTTTTTTTTTTACGGCAAAATTGCCTTCAGGCAATTAGTTAAATGGGGGAAATGTCTGTAGCAAAATGTCTACAGCAACGACTCCACTAGGAAAGCACCCAGAACGGAAAGGGCCAAACACCTCCACAGGCCAGGCAAGCAGTGGCCACAGCCTCAGGGGAGGCCAGACACCTCTCACCCACAGGAAAGCGAAACAAGTGTTTGCAATCACTGGGCGGCCAAAGGTGGGACTGGGTCCCATTGCTCCCAGGTGGGTGCCCTAATTGCTGCCACTGGAAGGCCAGTGTGTGCGTCCCTTTAAGGCAGCAGTTCTCAACCTGTGGGTCGCGATCCCTTTGGCGGTCGAATGACCCTTTCACAGGGGTCGCCTAAGACCATCCTGCATATCAGATATTTACATGACGATTCATAACAGTAGCAACATTACAGTTATGAAGTAGCAACGAAAATAATTTTATGGTGGGGTCACAACATGAGGAACTGTATTTAAAGGGCCAGAAGGTTGAGAGCCACTGCTTTAACGTGAATGTCCAACAGGCACGGTGTGGGATGCCTTTAAAAGTGAGCAATCCCTGTGCTCTCTAGAATTTAGGAATCCGAACAGATGGGTGGCAGGAGAATGTCCTTACTCCAGGGCTGCAGGGGGTGGTGGGGTCGGCTCTGAGGGGCTGGAAGCAGAGGGTCTGCTGATCACTGGCCTAGAGATCCTGCCCAGAGTATCTGCCACAAGCCCTGCAGGGGTTTGGGTAGGAAACCGAATGGGGATGGGAACAAGAACGGGACACGCTCCACAGCAGCCACGCCTCAAAGGAAATATATCAGATGAGGCAGCAGGTAATGAGGGGATTGTTCAGGAAATACACATTTGTCCTCCGACTAGAATTTGTTGAGTGACACTTTTTAAGACTTGTAAAGCTGTTCACACACTACATATTAAATGAGTGGCCAGGGTTTCAATGTTACATATCATTCCAAAGCTATTCATTCATTCAATAGCTTTTATTAATAAGGGCTGGGCCAGCCCTGGCTGGGTAGCTCAGTTGGTTGGAGGGTCATCCCATGCACCAAGGGTTTGCAGGTTCAATTCCCAGTCAGGGCACTTGCACAGTAAACAACAGAATAGGTACAATAGGCCATGTGTCAGGGGAGAAGAGCAGGAGACAATGAAAACAAAGAGGAGGGGTGGGGAGTAGGGTACAGTATCTATACTAATAAAAGCCTATGTGGTCGTCACACCCTCATGCCGTGATGCCCTCACACCATCACAATCCATCACCAGGAGGCTGCATGTACAGTGGGCGCACGGGTGGGAGGAGACTTGACTCTGCAAGGCCCAGAGAGAGAGGGCGTGGCAGCCGTGGTGCACCGGAAGTCCCGCCTCTACACATGTGAGCTGCATACACCTTTTCTGACCACTCATTGGCTAAGCTCATGGAACGCCACTCGCAGTGTTCTTGGTACCTTGGGTGATAAGAATCCAAGAAGGTGATCTAGGGTTTTTCCACCTCACTCCTAAAGGAAAAAATTAAGGTCCACTGCTGGAGGGGATAAGAAATGTCATATTCTTCCCTAGCCAGTTTGGCTCAGTGGATAGAGCCTCAGCCTGCGGACTGCAGGGTCCAGGTTCAATTGTAGTCAAGGGCATGTATCTAGGTTGCAGGCTCCTCCCTGGCCGGGGCCCAGGTTAGGGCTCATGCAGGAGGCAACCAATCTAAGTGTCCCTCTCACACTGATGTTTCTCTCTGTCTTTCCCTTTCTTCCACGCTCTCTAAAAATCAATGGAAAAATATCCTCAGGTGCCTTCCCCTGATCATCCTGGTTGCCTCCCGTGGCTTAGGAGTGGGCGTAAGCCGTCAGTAGGTCATCCCCTCAAGTCTCCTGGACTGTGAGAGGGGGCAGGCTGGGCTGAGGGACCCATGCATGAATTTTGTGCACCAGGCCACTAGTTTACAATACCTTGCCACAAGGGCCTCACTGGGAGGGCGTATTCTAAACTAAAGGAGCTGGGGAAGATAAGGAGAAAGCAGCAAAGGGGACAGAGGAGGAGCAGTCAGGAGGAAGGATGTCCCAGAGCCAAATGAAGAGGGAGAAAAAAATCTAATTGTGCTGAGATAATGGCCAAGAATTGACCACCGGGACTGTATGTAGTTCACTGTGACCTTGATAAAAAGGGTTCGCAGGAGTGGAAGGATTCTAAAGAGAGTGGGAGTGGGGGAGTTAGAGATAACTAATATAAACAATTCCTTTGAAGAAGTGGAGTGGTAGCTGGAAGGGGATTTGGGATCCAGAGTTTTTTGTTTTGCTTTGGTTTGGGGCTGGGGTTGGGAGAAATCGCAGCGTTGTTTGCTGATGGGATGACTGAGCAGAGAGGGAAAGATAGTTGGTGTGGGGGAGAGAGGAGAATTTTTGCTGGAAGCACAGACGGTTCTTTCCGAGCAGTGTCTAGGTGCAGTGGCAGGCGGTGGGTGGATGCAGTGAGTCAGGAGCGGGTGGAGTGGAGGGGCTTTTCTGGTGGCTTCCACTGTCCCAGTGACCCAGGAAGCAAGGCCCTGGGCTGAGAGTGCGGTGGCGGAGGCACTGGAGGGCTGAGGAGCAGGGAGGGCATGATGTGGCTGGTCATCCAGAAGATGAAGGGCAGCACGGGGCCTGGTGGAGGACAGTGGTCAGCACTGGTTCACAGGAGCGCTGCTGCACCTCCCCACTTTGGTTTTCTAGCAAACCCTTGCTCTTTGGCTAGTCCCTGCCGCTCAGACAAGATTAGCTTTCTATCTAACCCTTGTGGTCAGTTCTCGAGACAAATGAGATTCAATCTCAAATTTTCATTTCCTCTTTATGAAGGGAACTTCCCCTTCTCTCCCACTGACTTCTCTTTTTGGTGAGAGCGTGGTTTCAGGAAGGCAGGGAGCGGCCGCAGGCCTGCCTAGGGCCCGAGCTGTTTGGGATCCCTGACTGGGAGGGAGGGCTGGTTGGCTGGGAGATAATGGAGTGCTTTGAAGTAGCTGCTCTTGAAGTTCAATGGCCAACAGTGCCCCCAGTGGAATTCTTGGAAACCCTGTGATTACAATTATAGATGATTTTAGTTTATGAACTTTAAACAGGTGGTATAAAATTCAAAAGAGAATGCAGTGAAATGCAAATCTCCCTCCCACCCCTGGCCTTCAGCTGCGTGGTTCCCTCCCAAGGCAACCCTTTTTGACAGTCTCTTGGTGTGCACGGATAATTTTAGTGACTGCTGAGCAGTAAGGGGAGTGTGTGTGGGTAGGCCCATCTCAGCAGGCTGGAAATACTTACTCAGGAAACTGGATGTCTATAAAATTCTTGGGCACGTATCCTTCTTGGCTCCCAAGCTCTGCCTTGAGCCACTCCTCTTGGTTACTTAAGATCTACATGGAAGAGAATGAAGGACAAAGACACTGCAGGGAGGACACCAAGAAGCAAAAGAAAGGGGCAGCGGGGTGTGGGTTTAGAGAAAATAAATCAAAGAAACCACACAGCTGCCCGAGTGGGGGAGCAGCAAGGTTATCTTTGGGGTTTAGCTTTTCTTGACCCCAAGCTATTTCTGTCCATGAGGGCCACCTACACAGCTGACCCCGCCATGGCGTGGCCTCCCAGACTCAGCACTCAGGGGCTTCCCAGAACCCCTTTCTCTTTCTAGTTTGGAAATTCATGTGTCCCAGACCTTAGCACCTAAGCTCATTGTCTGGGCTGACGGTAAGAAGGCAAGAGTGACTGCTCCATAATTTTTCTTCTCTGTCAGGTAACTAGGATCCTTTTAAAAATTTAATTTGTTCTAATTTTTTTTTGAAACAAGCAGATTAAAACGTAAGTATCCAAGTGGGGCCAGCTTTGAAAACAGTAACTCTTTGTGTGCACACTCCACGTGGCTCACAAACAATTTGGGCATAACTCAAGATATCTAGACTGCCTTTTTAAAACTTGTTTTTATTTTATTTCTTTTCTTTTTTTATTTGCAAACCACATGTATTCTTGATACATATCTTAGCATCAAGACTATATAAAGAACTCTCAAAATGCAACGGTAATAAAGCCCAAACAATCCAAATAAAAAAAGAACAACAGACATAGACAGCCATTTCATTAAAGAGAATATACAGATGGCAATTAAGCACTTGAAAAGGTGTTCAATATTATTGGCCATTAGAGAAACACAAATTAAGATGACAATGAGCTATCACTACACACCTATCAGAATGGCTAACATAAAAAGTAAAGATAAGACCAAATACTGCCAAGGATGCAGAGAACTGGACCACTCACACATTGCTGGTAGGAATTAAACTTGCTTTTAGAGCCAGGTCACAGGCCAAACCAGAAGTCCTGCCTCGCTATGGCATGGTCCTCCCTTGACAGTGATCCCAAATGTTGTCACCTACCGTGATTACACATGTGATTGGCCTGATTTGGCTCTACGTGCCTTTTGGTTATTTCAGGAAACGTTTCACCTTTAAAAGACAAATATTTGCCCACAGCTCCCCTCTGAGAACGTTTCCATAGTATGTGGCATAGAATCGAACAATAATTCAAAATGACGATGGCAGAGCAAGGTGGAAAGAACCCTGATGATGCCACTGAGCCACGGAATCAGCCACCCAGGAGCCCGCCTACTTCTGGACTTTGGGTGAAAATTAATAAATCTTTGTTTAACAATTTTTAGTTTCTGTTTCTTGTAGCTGAGAGTGTGCTAACTGAGAGGAGTGCTATGATGGAGGGAAAGCAAAGGGCGGAGAGGAAAGACGAGCTGGAGGAGGGCACATCTGGGCTGTCCAGGCAATGACAGGAGTTGCCCAGGAGAAGTCTGATGTTGAAAGAACCACTCTGGGATATGAGAAAGTGCAGTGCATTCTGGGAGCGAAATGCCTTAGTCTGGTGGGAGTTTTGGTCATTGTCCAGAGATAGAGGGGAAACCAGACACCGGCCTCATGGCCCATGTTGACAATTTGAATATTTATCTTGACACTTATGGGAACCATTAAAGGATGAGCCATTAAAGCAGGGACATAACACAGTGAGAATCAGAGTTACTAGTAAGAAAGAGTGCTGCCTCAGAGTGTGGAGACGGAAAGGAGGGGTGAAGTCGGGGAAGGAGCTGCAGGAAGACTACTGCAGACATCCAGACAAGAGACGGAGGGGATCTGGCCTAAGAAGAGGTGAGGACATATTTTAGAGGAATCAGGAAGCAAAATGGGCAGGATTTCATGACTGTTTGTGGAGCGAAGGGAGAATGGGGATTCTGGGAAGGCTCCGGATTTCTGGCTGGGGAGACCGAGTGGGTGGTGATGCCTTTACTAAAATAGAAAATACAGGAGGAGGAGCAGGTCTGAGGGGGAGCTCATGGGCTTCAGCTTGCGTGTGGTGAGGCCAGGTTGCCTCTGGGACCATCTGAGGAGAAAGGCTTAGTGAGCAGTGGGAGACATGTGTCTGGACCCAGCAGCGAGGATGGGACGTTAGAGTCACCGGAAAGTGGTGGAGTTGAAGCCACAGGTCCCCTGGCTTTCTCTCTCCCAGAGATGAAAAGAGAATGAAAGGGAGCTAAGTAATGGAGAAGCAATGACGGCCTCTTTCTACTATCCCTCCTGAGGTGGAGGGAAGGGGACAGCACGTCGAGTTTGGAATGAGAAGACCTGGTTTCCAGCTTGGCCCTGTCACTCACTGCGTGCCCTTTGGTAAGTCAACTGACCATCTGAAATATGGGGACAGAAACCCGGGCTAACGCCTTGATGTGAAGATCAGTTGAGCCCTGTACCTGGACTTCCTTCAGGAGTGTGCTGTTGTTCAAAAATGTAATTCTGTAACATGTGATCTTCTCATGAGGGAGGACTCCAGCTCTGAAGGACACAGAGGGTTTTGTAAGTTCTTTAAAGTGTTCTGTATGTATGTTTTGAGTTTAATCATTTATTCTGAAGAAATAAAAGTGTGTCCCATAACTGAGTTCTAGAATTGCTGAGAAAAGAAAACTTTACAGTTTCTGACATCACATGTGGCTGTTAGTATCACTAGGGACGTGTGGGGTGTGTATGCTGAGGGGTGTGGGGAGCAGAAAATCTAGGTCAGAAGAAGAACTAGGAACAGGCATCAGCGCTGGCGTTCACATAAAGGCACGAGGACGTTTCACGTGGGCCGTGTCCCCGGGTCTATGGTTTCGGAATGGTCTCATGGGAATTTGGAGTTTGGCCTGCGTGGCAAATGTCAAACAGGAGAGCGGGCAGGGATGAGGTGAAAGCAGCCATTTGGAAATTGGCTCTTCACGGTAAGAACCACATTTTGTGCTTAGTTCTCTGACCTGAAACTAGCTGTCATTTTAGTAATCGTGGCTCACACCCATCCACCTCCTCCAGCAACTGAAAGATTATCGCTCGATGCCCGCCACTTCTCCCTGCCACCTGGCGTTCGGTCTGCCTGAGACTGTGTTCCCGGGGAGGTGAATTTCCAGCCTATTTTTGGTGTCTAGAACACAAGGTTTTAAAAAATCCATTTTCTGCAAAGAAGAGTATTCGGGGGGGAGGTGGTTTCCTCCTGCCGTTGAGGGGCCCCAGACTTCCTGTGATCATCTCTCCATCTACTTGGCTCCCCCCTATCTCTTGTCCCCATCACAGAAACCTGAGCAAGGAGTTCGGCCTGAACACGGGAGGGTTGACGCTCCACTTTACTGTGTCTTAATTCTCATAACGCTGCCTACAGAGCACACTGCTGGTTCCATGCCTGACACTAAGTTAGATGTGGGAAGAGGACAAAATGTACAGTTGGGAGAATTTTAAAATTGGATGGAATTACTGCTCCTAGAGGCATAGCAGAAATTTGAAATATTGAAGAAGTTAATGACATAGGATTAACTTGGTGCTTTTAGGCCACTGTTTTAGTAGGAAGAATTGAGGTGGAATTAGATGTACTACAGAAGCAGACAGACTGACAAATTCAACTGGTGCTGGGTAGCTGCAGGTCCGAGGTTTGTGACAAAAACACAAAACACCCGGCGCCCGGCTTTTCAAATGCTTCTCTCACAGAAGTGGGCTCAAGTCACCTGGCAGGAGTTCTCTGCTCACCATTCTGTGACCAGCATCTAGTGAGCACCTGCTGTTTGCACGTAGATACTGGGAATGCAGAGGTGAATAAACTGGGCCTTTGCCCTGCCGGGGACTCACAGGCTGGAGGGGGTGGGTTGGTGGCAAGCTGGGCAGACATTTTTGTACCTTCTAATGAAAAAGTCTGTTTAGCCTTTTATTTAGCTCTAAAGGCCAAACACAAAAGAGCATCCCGGGAGTGAGTTGCAGAGTCAGTCCAAAGATGGCTTTGAAAACAATGGTGAGGCTCCCCGGTTGTTACTCAGCTCTGGGGGGAAGGGACAGGTGTTGCCACATATGCAGAGGGACCCACAGGCAAGGCCACTAACCCCCATGAGGCAGACATTCTGTGAAGCTAAGCCAGAAAGCCCCTCACGGCTTTTCTCTTCACTGCACAGCTGCAATGGACAGAGTGTGAAAAGAAAGAGGAGTTTGGCCTTCTGACGGAGTTCCACACGAGCATGCGGAAATGCAATCTAGCAATTCAAGGCATGTGTACAGAGCACCTGTTGGGGCTGTGATTTGTACGAGATGCTGGGAAGATGCAAAGACGGCGTGGCTCTGCTCTCAGTGAGCTCACAGAGCCGTGGAGGGGTCAACCTTTCATTCATTTACCACCTACTAGGGAGGGTCACCTTTCTGCTGTTCTAGACACTGAGGCAGACCCAGCCCCGCCCTCACAGAGCTTTGTCCTGTGGCCAACACACAAATGGCAATTAGGATCCCATGGGGTAAGGACAGCAACCCGAGGTGGATGTACAGGCACATCAGAGCACGGACGCTCGGCCTGACCATAAATAACTGTCATGTGAGCCATGATCATAAATGCCTTGAATAAAGTGCCTGTGAAATGCTGGGGAATCGCTGAAGAGGAAGTCCTTAATTTTCCCAGGGCAGTAGGGAGCAGGAGGATCGGTGAGGGTTCTTGGGCAGAGGTGGTCAAATGTGTGTGTGGGGGAGAAGGGCATCTGGAGAATGGGGAGAGCCTGAGAAAGGGTGGTGTGTATACTGCAGTGTGACCTGGGGGCAGAGATGTGTGTGTGTGTGTGTGTGTGTGTGTGTATTCATGCACGTGAGCATGATGAAGCTGGGGCCAGACAGCTTAGATTTCAACCAACTGGTAATGGGGGACCACTGAATGCTTCGGAATAAGGAAGTGACATGATCTGATCTGTCTTCCAGAAAAATCCCTCTGGGACTAGTAGAGAATGATTGAAGGAGGAAGATACAGGAGGTGATGGGGTCAGTCAGGGGGCTGTGGCCACAGTCTGAACAGGCAGAGGCAGCAGTAATGAGTAATACTAATAATACGGTGGCCACTTACTGAGCATCCGCTTTGGGATGGGACCATTACCTCTAATCCGTTCCACAACCCGCAAAACAGATCCTGAAGACACTGAGGCTCAGGGGGCAAGTGACTGGCCCAGGCCGCACAGCTAGTAAGCTGGGATTCAAACTCAGATTTATCTGCGCCCAACGTCCATGCTCCTTTGGACTGCACTGGCTCCTCTCTAGCAAGGGAATGGCCTGAGACGTATCATTGAAGAAAAGTATTCAGAGCAGAGGACAGTGCTAGCCAGTCAGACAGAACTCCGTTCAGACCCGGGAGAGGGAGTTAGAAGTGTCACACTCTACAGGCATTGTAGTAGGGTCATTATATTCTACGTAAGGACATCGCTGGTGGATTTTAAGGGAGTTTTGGGGGTGAAAGTCAGATTCCAGGGTTCCTGTGGAATGAATGGGAAGGGAGGGAGTACAGGCACCAGTATAGAGAATCCATCCCAGTATTGGCAGCAAAAGAGAGGCAGGAAATTGGAAGCTGAATTGAGAAATGGAGTTGAGGGAAGTTTTTTTTTTCCTTTTAACTTTTCTGGGGAATAGGGGAAATTCAAACAAGACATTAGGTTCTATTTGCAATGAGAGATGAGTCATATGTTCACAATACCCATAGGTAAGGGAGAGATTGCTCACCAGGCGGCAGATCCTTCTGTGACCTTGATAAGGTCCCAAAGAATTGAAGGTCACCTTTTCCTGAGTCAGCAGCCAAAGGCCATTTTGACCTTGGAAAGCTCTAACATCGAAGGCACATTTTTTTTTGCAACCACCTTACTAGATCTTGCAAGGTGAGAACAGTTAGAGGGACAAAACTGGGGGTGTTTCTTTCTATAACAAGCCTAATTCTTAGTGGTGAGACAATGGTGGCCTTAGTGCTGCTGGGAGCCAGGGATCAGGATATCCGAGGTGCTGAGGCCAGGCAGGGGGATACTGGCCTCACAGTGGCCTTCAAGAGGCCACTTTTACTCTTCTGCACCAAACAGGGGCTAAGATGCAGAGTCTGCCAGTGTGAGGCATGAAAGTTGGAAGAGGTCCAAGGCCTCTTCAGCTTAGCGAGTGGCCACTACAACTCAAGTGCAGGCTGGGTGTGCATGGTCTTTGTTGAGTCCTGTTTCCACCCACACCCTCATCCTGTAGTTCCAGCCCTGCTGGATCTCACAATGCGCACAGAATTCCACATGGGCTTGCTCATTTCCGAACTTTAGTGAAAAGTCCAACTCTCCTTCATTACATCCTAACAACTGATGTTGCCACACTGGCCACAAACCCACCTTTCACGGTGGGACCACTTGCTCCCTCACTTGTGCTGCCTGAGCTCTCGGATAAGAGCATCTACAACAGCCCTTTGGATGGATTAGTCCCCCCTGCGCCGCCTAAGACCACGAGCATCTCAGGACAAGGATGATGTCTTATGCCAACCGCACTTCCATTCCCTGGGCTGGTAGCTGGCATACAGGTGCTCAGAAGGAACCCTTTTGATTGAGGTGAACTTCTCTTTTGGAAAGGAACTGTGTGTAATTCTTTAGAAACAAAGGCATGTGTTGTTATTTTAAGTCAGTGACCAGACAAGAGTAACCTAAACTCCCCAGGGGGCCCGGGGCCTCACATCACCTACCTTCAGAGTATCTCCAGTGTGAAAGCTCAGCTCATCCTCGCCTGAGGCGGTGAAATCAAACTTGGCGACGGCTTCCATGTTGTAAGGAGAAGCTGGAAGAGAAAGAACGCGGTCATTGTGCCGTTCGGCCGGGAGAAGGGCAGCGGGCAGATGGTGCTGTGTGACAGCTGAGCAGTTGGTAGGCGAGTGGTCCACTGTCTCAGGCTGGAGAGCCTGGCGCAGGCATACTGTGAAGACTCTTGTTTTGGAGAAGAGTCTTGCTGGAGCCTTTAGGGCCTGCTTCCTGGCATCACTGTCTGAATCCCCAGATGCCAGGAGCAGGGAATGAAAGCCAGAGACTGACTCTCTTTTCATCTCCCTTTGCCTGGCCCGGCCTGTCACCATTTCTGGGGCATCTCCATTTCCAGTTGATAGGGAAGGAGACTTGCTATCATCTCTAACTTGAGGCCTGAGGGGCCAGAAAGACTGCTTTTTAAACACAGTCTGGTCCGAGGCTGCCCCTTGGCAGCTATATTTAACCCGGTGGTGTTAATTAGACAGATGCCATTGCATCTTTTACATCTGAATCATTTAAGAGAATTAGACAGTGCTGGCCACTGGGGACCTTCAGGTCCTTCTGCACGTTTGAGAGTAGAAAGCTTTCTGGTTTTAGAGTTGGGAGACTCGATAAGTCAGCTTCCTAATTTATGTTATTAATATTGTGTAAGCCAAGTACATTTGGAAAATTTTTGTTTTAATACTTCTGAATTGAGTTAAAATATTGACCTCTCCTAGTAACAGATGAGACCTGTGTAGAGATAAATAGGTCAGCCTACAAATGAAATAGAGGTGTTTGTGTTGTTCCTTTTTTTGTTCTAGGAGGCAGCGGGGATGTAATAGAGAGCTGAGACCTGACTTGTTGGTGAACAGCTGCAAGCAACTAACCTCTTGGAGTCTCAGTTTCCTGGTCTGTAAAATGGGGGTCATAATATCCAACTAGTAAGAGGGTGAAATTAAATTAAATAAATAGATGCAAAACGTTATAGAAGGTAAAGCTAAGCGGCATTTTTGTTTCAAAATAATCCGATGGAATGAATTTATCCTCAGCAAAGGTAGGCTGGCTAACACAGCACAAGTTTTCTTCTCGTCTCTCCCATCTCCTAGAACTTTCTCATTGAAATTTGATATTTATTCTCCGTGACCCTCAAATCCTTTGGTCCTCTGCTAAGATGGCTTACTGTCAGGACAGTCTTGAAAGCTGCTAGTTGGCTTTTATGTTTTGCAAAATTTGCCCAAGTTCGAAACCCTTTAGGTTAGTAACACTCAAACTTAATTGACTTTCAGTGACTAGTAAACTGGGACAGTAAATTGTCCCCTCAGTGGGGATTTCTGCCTAAGTGACAAGATTTGGGTAAATAAGAAAGGAAGGCCGCCACGGGTGGGAGGGTGCAGCGGCCGAGATCAGGGGATTAGAACCGACTGCTTCTGAATTTAGTTAAAATACTGACCCCTCCTAGTGACAGAGGAGACCTGTGTAGTGGTGATAGCAAGGGGCTCATCTCTTTGATTTTCCACATTTGCTTGCTCGTCCAAAGGTAATGTGTAGAGATGAGTATTACCAGCCCCAAAGAAAGATATTCCAGGTGCCGAAGTAAAATGTCACTGCTGCCTGAGCTCTAACACACATCAAAATGATTGTGAAAGAACAAGAAAAAAAGTAGACTTTTTGTACACTTTCTTCAAGATCTGTTCATCTAAGGCAGCGGTTCTCAACCTGTGGGTCATGACCATCAGAAAACACATACAGCATATCAGATATTTACATGACGATTCATAACAGTAGCAAAATGACAGTTATGAAGTAGCAACAAAAATAATTTTATGGTTGGGGGTCACCACAACATGAGGAACTGTATTAAAGGGTCGTGGCATTAGGAAGGTTGAGAACCACTGAAGGCAAATTAAAATTTTTGTGACCTAGGATGACCCACTCAACGGGAAGGCCTATTCTGCCCTCCTTAGTGAATGCTAACTGCCTTTGATGATTTCATTCACTCCATTACTTTAACATCCAAAGCTTCCCCTAATTAAGGCCTTGCCTCTAGTTGGCACCACATTAAAATGTGGTGTCTGAGGGTCACCCTCATGGTATCAACAGTGAACACTGGTCACTTCAGGAGATCAAGTGTCAGGTGAATGGTCCTGAAAACCAAGATCCCATTTCCATGCAAATTTACCTTAATGAGCAGGATGGAGACAAGGGGAGTGCAAATGCTAAACATATTAGAAAGTCACATAAATTAGAGATGAAGAGAATATTCAAGGCCTGCTCTAGATGTGACCTTGAGCTTGGGAAGATCTGTCCTCCATTGCATGTAACTCCGATCAGGCCTCGGCCCCGGCTGGCTGTCAGTCACTTCAGAGAGAGGGCTGAGGCGGAAGCAGAACTGCCTCTGAATAGGGGCACTTTTCTCCTTCCCCCACGAGGCAGGTGGCTGGCTTTCAACGACACAGCCACATCACACAGCTCCCCTGCTTAGGATATTAATCCTGGCTCAGAAAACCCAATGAAATAGGCCCACTCTTCATGAAATCGCTTTGAAAAAATTTGTTTGCACCCCATTTCCATTTGTGAAATGAAATCTTTCAGCTGCTGTTCGGAGGAGGAAGCTGTTCAGGGGAGAGTGAGGTATGCTTTGTTTTTGTTCAAATCACAGGGCTTTGCAAATTCTTCCCTTGATTTTACCATTCTCTGCCTCCTGAATAGCAGAGGATGGTACATGTGCCACCCCTGGAGCCCGGTCTCCTGTTTGATCAGAGGAATGCGTCAAAATTTATATCTCATTCCTCTATAGCCATTCGTTTTAATTTAATTTGGGAAAGTTTAAAATTGCCACCAGGGAAAAATAAAACTGAACTAATGTAGTTTATTCAATATTTATCTGTTTGTTTTATAATCTGTACCCACTACCACTGCATCTGGGAAACTATATATATGAATATATGATAAAACATGATAGCAAACACGTTTGAGATAGAAAAGAGGAAAGAGAGAGATGAGAGAGATGAGAGAGAGAGAGAGAGATACATATGCCACAAAGTATGACGGGGAAGAGAAGCTGTTTCTAGAATTAGAATTCGAGAGTGCAATGCCTTCTCCATGCTGTCTGCAGAAACAGTGCTACTGGCCTCACAGGGAGAGGGCAGAGCCACCCCTTCAGAGAGCCTCCAGATGGATTAAATGTGCTTTTTCCTGCCAGTGATCAGCTTTAGAAATGGCTGAAATGCTATCTGCCATAGAGTATGAATGAGAAGTGACAGTTTCCAGGGGCAGGCAAGCCACTTCCAGCAGCCTCCCCCTAATCCTACCTCAGAGCCCAGGGCTCCTGTCCCTACTGCGACCTCTGTTTCTCACCAGCCCGCTGCATGGGCCTCACTCCCCCTTTACTAATGGCAGGGAATAGCCATTAGCGGCCCCGACACAGATCCGCCTCACCGCAGGGCAGCACCACACAGGACTCCCAGGCACGATTTTCTCTGCCCTTGCATTTCCATTCAAGCTTCTTTTACCACCAAAGAACTTGAAAAAATATTCAGACTAAATACCAGGAATGCTTCTCTACTTCTAAAATAGAGTCACCACAGAGAATGGAAACAAAAGCCACGAGACAGTGCTGTAAGATACATCCGAATTGATGTCGTTTACCTACATATGAATACCTTGTCACACATAATGTCAACACATATAGCAATTTTGGTGAAATGTAGCTGATGAAGCATCTCCTCTCCTGTAAATTCGAATACTGCTCTAACAATGAAGTCATGTGATATGAAATTAGTTAGATTTTGCAAGAAGAGCTCTTGCACCAAAACTCTCAGCTTTTCTCCCTTCGTCCTATAGCAACTTAGTATCTGGAGCCATTAATAATTTTATTTTTTAATCCAGAAGGCATATAGAAACCTTTTCAAATTTTTTAATCTGATTTGTTCATGCAGATGTAGTTCTATCAAAAGACCTTATTTTACCTTAAGATATTTGTTGCACTGACCTCTGTGCACTGCTGTGCTTAGAAATTTCTAGTTCAGTTCATTAAGAGCTGTAACAAACTGATTTAAGGTAAATCTACATGTTTATTGAAAAGAAAATCCTTAACTGAAAGCCAGAATTAGTGGATGTATTCAGAAACACATGGTTACCATCAAAATGGTAAGAGACTTCTTAAAAGATTTCAGCTCCTCCTAAGATGGCTATGAATAGTCAAGGTTCCTGTTTCATGAATCTCTTAAAAAGAGCAATTGCGTAACACCAGAAGCTGTTTGAAGATTCAGGCTCAAGATCCATCGAGGGAGCCGAGTCCTCAATTGAATCAGTGACCACACTTCTTATTTTTCTGGGGAGAGTTCTAATTTGAAGATCATATGACTTGCCCCAGTTTATACTGTAATTCAGTTAAGATAATGCCTTGGGGGGAAACAGGGAGAAGCACTGCTCTTTATAAAGATTCTTAAACAACATGGGGTTTGGGGTGCTGACCACACCCCGCCCCAGTTGAAAATCTGCCTATAGCTTTAGACTTCCTGAAAGTTTAGCTGTCCCTCAGTGTCCATGGGGGATTGGTTCCAGGACCTCCACAGATGCCAAAATTTGAGGTTGCTCAAGTCTCCTAGATCAGTGCATACAGTAGGCCCTCCACTTCCCTGGACTCCTCACCTCAGGTCAAAAACTGTACAGACATTTACTAAAAAAAACCCCACCCACGTATGAGTAAACTGACACAGTTCAAACCCGTGTTGTTCAAGGATCAACTGTGTTGCTTGTAGCATATTTATCAGGACATTAGCAACAAATATAATTTTTATGAATTTATCTTGTGCATCAAATAAAGTGATAGAATAGTGAGGAGTTAACACCGAATAGTGAGGAGTTAACGTTTTAGGTTTTGGGCTGTAGCTAGGAAGAGGAGCTTGGCTACAAGTGTAAAGTTGTACCAGCCATTGAACTTCACCTAAGGCAGACACTTGGAAGCCACAACTTTCTATTTGTTAGGCAAAGCCCCTCCTGGAGACAGAGCATTTGCTGCCCTCGGGAGCTGATGGGTCAGCTCAATGACTT